GATCAGATATCAGAGTATTCTATACATCACCACACCTTCACGAGATTTCAGCACATAGCTCATCTCAGAAACATGCATGTCTAATCATTCTCCCGGTAGCCCAGATCTCTCTATACTATCATTCAAAGGTGGTTTTCATGGACGTTTGTTTGCTTCTCTCAGTACGACCAGGAGTAAGGCTCTGCACAAGGTAAGTCAATTTTCTGATACTCCGTCTCCGTGTGAACGTTCCATTCAATTTATAAAGGGGGTCGGTCCAGAGATTATACCTACCGCTTTCGCCTTTGGCCACCAACGTCGATTGAAATACTCGTGAAGTAATGACAGGTCATATCTCAGGACTCATGCAGATTCCGTAGATGTCCGGAAGAAGAGTCTCGAACTGACGAAAGGATTGCTACGTCACACAAAATGTGATGCTGACAAATATCAGGTTGACATCCCTGCGTTCGATTGGCCCGCAGCACCATTCCCTCAACTTCTCTACCCCTTAGAAGAACACATCAAGGAAAATCAAGAAGAAGAAGAGAAATGTTTATTAGAAGTAGAACAAATATTGATACATCAGTAAGTTCATCATACACACTTCTTCCTGTGATCTCTTGCTATACTCCCTTCTCAATTATTCAACCGAAGCTAATTTCTTTAGAAAATCAACCAAACCAGTCGCAGCAATGATAATAGAACCCATTCTTTCAGAAGGAGGAGATCATCATGCTTCTCCTTCTTTCTTCCGTTCACTCCGTTCACTCGCGAGGAAACATTCCGTTTATTTCATTGTTGACGAAGTACAAACTGGCGTGGGTGCCACTGGAACTTTTTGGGCTCATGAGAAATGGGAATTGGGAAAAGGACAAGAACCTGATTTCGTCACGTTTAGTAAGAAGATGCAAGCTTCTGGTGTTTATCATAAATTGGAAACTAGGGCTAGTAAACCTTATAGGAATTATAACACGTGGATGGTGGGTTTTTTCTTTTTAATTGTTTTCTATCACATTCTCCTTGTTGTGTCTTAAGCTCTTTTCATCTGGAATTTCCTTCCCTTGCATCTTCACATCGTCATATTGTTATCTTCAGCCTACTCCCCATTCTTCCACTCTATCTTACTATGCCGTTCAATAATTGGGTTTGATTATCACTCGCAACTTCTCTTCTTGGATGATTGTTACCCACATGTCCAAAAAAAAATCGTCGTTGCCGAAATATTCATGGTGACCATCACTTTCTCCCCAACTCCCAAAACCCGAAATTCCCAACTAACACCCAGGGCGACCCAATGCGTACTCTTCAAGCTGGTCAAATCCTCCAAATCATCTCATCTCACAACCTAGTCTCTCACACATCAACCATAGGAGCTCTCCTCCATTCGACTTTATCTGAGATATTCGTCCATTTCCCACAACTGATACTCAATTTCAGAGGAAAGGGAGAAGGTACTTTTTTATCTTGGGATATGCCCGATACTTCTATTCGAGATAAATTTCTTTTGTTAGTCAGACAGAGAGGTGTACATATGGGTGGATGTGGTGAAAAGACAGTCAGGTTGAGACCAATGTTGGTATTTGGGGAAGAAGAGGTAATCGTCTTGGCTGATGTTGTTGAAGGGGTTTTGAAGATGATGAAGGAGTAGTATTCAATGCTTTGACTGGTGGAAATGTGATCGTTTGTATCTCTTCTTGAATGCATATACTTACAATGTGATTACTCGTAACCTAGTCCTCTTTTGGACACACCTCGTTTTATCAGACTATGATCTCATCAGACTAGTTCATGATCTAAGCTGTAAAAGGTAAAAGACCTCAATTTGGGATATTTTTTGAAAAAGAGGGGGGTGTTAATCGCACGGGTGATGAATGACCCATCATTTCAATTTCCCACTCACTTTTCACTTCTCTACCCAATCTTCCATCTCCCTCTCTTCAAATATCTTGTTGGTGTATCTCATACCATGTTGGTTATCTCATACCTGATTTATATCATGAAGCAGTGAGCCCACACAAACAGACAAAGTATCATCGTAAGCTCACCTCAAACTCCCCAATACACTCTACTCCAATCACGACTGACTCATCAGCTTTCGAAAGAAATTCTCAACCCACACCCCACCCTAAAATCAAATATGGACTCAATATCGTTCAAAGTCAAAGCGGAATCCCTCACTCAAGATCAAATAGAATCTGAACTTTCACCCTCTACTTCAGTCCGACCTTCATCTGCCTACTCTAGTCTTATTACTCAGAATGTTCCAAATGAGCTGTCCGGCAGTGATAGTCATATTGGATCCAAGGGGAATCAAGGGACAAGGATGGAAATAGATACTCGTCAACGTATTCCTACCATCGAAGAACCAGAAGGATCAACATCACTACTTCCTAATCCATATAAACGACCCCATCCTGATTCTTCCGCGACATCTCCCCTAACGACCAATACGAACCCTGTCCAAAATTCCTATATACCAACGGTCAATCTACCATCAATAGAAATCCATACAACTCGTGATTTACTCTCTGTCAAATTGGAACCGAAGTCGGATTTACCTAGGAAGCAAATGGTCTCTCATTCCGCTCTACTTCCATTGAAATCCACTCCGACCTCCGATCCACCTTCAGTCGAATTGAAGTCATATCCGACTTATCTATCGGAGAATCCAATTCATGAGAAGAATAACCGGACTGATCCGATTGATTATTCCCGAGAGTCAAAACGAACAAAGAGGGAGAAAACGTTGTTTGGACCGGGAAGTCAATCAGAACCTATTTTAGTTGATGAGCTTGATGATAACTCTCATTCCTGGAATGTATCTAATGTGAACAATGTGAATGAGGAATTAAGAGATAAGGTGGATGATATTCCAACATTTGTCAAGATTGAAAGAAACGATAGTTTGAAGGAACTCGAAAAGGGGAAAACGAAAGAAGTTTTTGATGTGGAGATGTTGGATTATACTTTAAACCTTAAAGAATTGAACATTCGACATTCTTCTGTCAAGTCGTTTGGGAAGGTTGTCCGGATAGAAGATGAAGAAGAATCTATAGCTCTTGGTCTTACACCCTTCCCTATTATACCGATTCTTTCTTCTTCATCTCGTATTGAACCTTCATCGATCAATCATAAACAGACATTCATTCCAAACAACATTAAATTACCCTCGAAACATCTATCAGACACAAACCCCATTCCGATCCGAAACATCCAACAACCCGGAAATCTTAATAAACCTACAGTCTCAGCCGTCCAACAAGTCGGTAATTCCAACAACCTGAAGTCTGTCAATAACACCAAATACAACAACAAAACCCAAAGTATTGAAAACGTCAATACCTCTAATGGAGCAAAAAGTATCAAACGTTGGCCGATACCTACCCCTTCTCCAATAGAATGGAAACATCTCCCAACGAAGTATCGTCGAGTAGTCAGGAATTTCCGCTTACGTGAAATAGGTAGAGAAGCTTTCAAGGAAGAAGCAGGTTTGTGGTTGGTAGGACCTGCAGAATGGGCGGAGATGTGGTTAAGACGTAAAGGTAAGATTGGGTCGGAGAATAGGGAAGGGAGGAAAGAACATTTGGAAAGGGTGAAAGAGAAGATGAAGAGGAGGAAAAGGGTGTTGGCTCGTCGGAAGGCTAGGAAGGAGGGGAAGGAGCGGAGAAAGTTGGATGGGGTGGGTGGGGCTGGTCCGGCTGGTTCGTGTGAAAAGTTTGGAGGAGTGAATGGGAGTGGTGGGAGTGGCAAGGGTAGTAGGAGTGGTGGGCAGATGAAAGAAGATGAAGATGGAGATGATGAGACAAGCGAGAGTGAATGGGATAGAGGAAGTGATAGTGAATGGGACGGAGAGAGTAGCGGAGAGTCTGAGTCGACAGTAGAGGAACGAACCAGGAAGAACAAAAAGGAAACCAGGGCTACAAAACGTAACAGGGAAATATCAAGTGTGAAGAAAGAACATGGTACGAGTGTGAAGAAAGAACAAGGTACAAGTGTAAAAGAAGAACAGGACCTGAGGCACTCTGAAGAAGCTCAAGAGATTATCCAAGTGGAAAATTACGAAGATTACGCGGCACGGATGATAGTACGAGCAGGAAGAAGAGCACTGAGGAGAGAAGCGGAAGAAGGTAGGATAATTAGGGGTGAACCGAAAAGACGAAAAGGTAAGAAGAATAAAAAGGGCAAGAAAAGGAAGAAGGGCAAGAAGTCAAGTTGGAATGTCAAGTTGGAGAAAGAGGTAAAGAAAGAAAAAGGGGTGAATGTGAAGAAAGAACAAAAGGTCAAGGTTAAACAAGAACCTCATTGATTTATCCCGTTGAGGAGTGATGAAGTTGTATTTCGGAAGATCATTCATTTATCTGATTCATTATCTACCAAAGTTATCCTGATGTGCTGTAGTACCAAATTGCGCCTGCAAGTATGGGTTATTCTCAATTCCTACCCTATCGTTCTTATAAGTGTACGAGTAGAGCGTAAAGAGTGTATGACTACAGAGAACATACATAAAGATAGAGGTACATGTGTGTAGATCAACACGGTCAACATTGTGATTTGACAACGTGAGGAAATGGACATACTCTCTGATGAACTTCTCTTGAGTCTTGGCTTGGGGAATGATAGTACGGACCGAAGTTTTCAAAATACGTCAAGATTCATCTCACTCCATCCACCCAATCACCATCATCACTACTGCAAGCCATTGATAATGATGGCAAGATGAACGATGTATCAAACTACGTCGGGGAGGACTGAGTAGAGCACTCGAACTCCTAAGAACTTCGAGGTGTCAGAAAGGTTTTCAAGTTCGGGGTTTTCCTTCCTCTACTTTTCCCACCGAATCCAAAATTATAGCCTTCACTCTTCTACAAACATGTGGTAGCTCCCACTAGGACGATATCAACACTGTTTGATATGTTCTCACAAGACTTTTTCCCTCTATCTCCTACTTCCGTAATCTTACAACGTGATGCTACCTTTTCTCAACTCCCTTGAATTTGATAAAAGACCAACATCCACATCCATCTCTCTCTTCTCCATCTCCCTCAATTCTCGTCTTTTAGCATCAATCAACTTATCCATATCCTTCATTTTCACTTTCAACTTTTTCTGAGCCTGATCAACCGCTTGTTTCAGCCGATGTTTGGTCGCTTTAGAACATGTAGATTGAACGGATTGGAGGTTTTGCATACGTCTTGATATCATCTCTGTGTGACGTTTATGAGAAGTTTCTTTATCTTTGATCAAAGAGTTGATTTGCTTGTTTATTGACGACACACTGAGCGCGCAAGTGGAACTTTGAGAAGTAAGAGATGACTTAGGAGACTTGAAATGTGTGTTCGTCATAGAGGATGTCTCATTGAGTGGCAAAGGAGAAAGAGAGGAAGAGATTGTGGGCTGTGATCTTCCCGGGATGGTGACAGATGGAGAGGGAGGTGTTGTTGGTGAGGTCGTTTTGGGTGATGTGTCAGATGGTGAATTGGTAGATGGTGTCTTGATCTGAGAGACGGAGCGAGGTTTGGATGATCGCTCTTTAGATGTTGCGGTAGGTTGAGACAATGACGGGGCGATCATTTCAGAAGGTGATGAGAGAGTTGTGGATTGGGGAAGAGAATTTTGAGTTCCAGATCGGGAGAGGAGAGATGGGAGATGGATGGGGGGTTTCATAGTGGGAGTAACAGTAGGAAGATGGAGTAGACGATCTGTGGGAGATGATCTTGAAGGTGATGATAGATCATGTGGATTAGAAGATTGAGGTTCAGTGGAGAATACAGGACCGTTCGTCGACTTAGTATCTTGCGCAACCTCCTTCTTAGATCCGGCAGATCCAATCGAAGGAACGTGCGAGTGATCTTCACACGACTTCAGATCGGCTTGTCCATATTCCGACTGCCTCTCCGATACTAACAAGGAACCTTTCTCTTCAAGTGACTTGGCCGGATTTACTTCACACTCAGGAATATTTGCTTCTCCACCAAATTGTGATAATGTCGATTTCGTATCTTGTGAAGAATCTTTACCGGCACTTCGTTCGGCCGGAGGTATCGATATATCAGATTTTGCAAGTCTCCACATATCATCTGTAATATATCCCCACCACTCCCTAAATCTTGACGCTGTATCTACCTGTACTACTCCTGGTGAATTATTCTGTGACTCTTGCACTTTCTGTATTGGTGCCTGTTTCGATTTCTCCACCGAGACCGGTGTGGAAAGTGTTTCCCGCTTAGCCTCCTCTTTCATCACACTGATAACTTCTTTCAATGTCTTTTTCCCCAATTCTTTTCCTTTGGCCTGAGTTCGCGCAGTTGCCGCACTTTTTTCTGCTGATTTCACTTGATCCGCCAATGTCGGCCAATAAGAAAGATCGAACATATTCAACATATCACCATAAAATTCCGACTGGGTATTACGATGTATGGAGTCCAGAAAAGCAGCACCGACGTATGCTTCGAATATGGATCCAGCGTGTTTTTGACTCAGTATAGAGGGCAAAGGTTTGTCCTTCACACTGACCAAAGTAGACGATGATTCCTTCATTTTAGAAGTGGAGGAGGAAGATTTTGTCGATGATATGGGAGCGGATGAACAGGAAGAAGTGGGTAAGGTGATGGTAGAGTTATGGGAAGTGGGAAGTAATGGGATATTTGAGAAAAGAGGTGTGGATACGAGAAGATGTGAAAGTGTACGATTGGTAATTAATTGAGTTCGAAACGTCTGAACATCAGTCAGATACAATTTTTGAGTATTTCGTTTGGAAAGTTTTGACTCACAGCTACTACACTAGTTGTACTCGTATATCTATCCACGGATAGAGTAGCGAATAAATTGACCAATACATCCCCAATTAACGCTAATCTCATCAATTCTATTCCTTCTTGGGGATTCAACACTATTGATAATAACTTCTGGTCTTGTAAATCCGGTAAGATAGGCGATGAACTGCGTGATGTGGTGGGTGATTCCCAGCCCCAGTGACTTGGAATACAACCGGAATGGTCGGATGTAGGAAGTATGGAGGGACGAGATTGTGGTGTTGTTGAAGCACCCTCGTCTTGAGATTTATTAGATTGATGAGTCTGGTTATGGCGAAGAAGTAATTTGGTCGGAGTTTTCGTTGTCGTTGGGAAGGTAGTGCTGGGGGTATGAGATATAAGATGAGTGATGATGGATGACCATGGAGATGGCACCAAATCACCAACGCCGTCTCCGGATTTCTTTGCTTTCTGTGAAGCAACGGTCGTCGGCTTACGGGGGACGGGGATGACTTGGCTGACGAGATGAGGAGCGGGGTGGGACTTGGAAGCAAGTGAAGGTGCATTTTTAGCTGGTTGAGAGGATCTATGGACTGTGGGTTTCGTCTTTTCGGGACTGGTCTTTGTGATTGACTTGGCGGCAGTATTCACCGATGGGGAAGGCTTCTTAGACGATGGTGGGGTTTTGGAAGAAGGAACGTTGGTCGGGGACACTGCTGGGATGGAAGGCTGGAGCTCAATAATTGGCTTCGGCACGTTGGAGATCTTCATGGCATCTGTAGCATTCGGTCGGTCGCTTTCACCATTCAGCTCTGACAGGATCGAATCGTTTACAGAGTATATCGTTGGCGTCGGTGTTGTCTGTGGGACACCCGGGGTGGTAGTCACAGTGTTACCCCTTTTCTTCTTCTTCTTGATCTTAGTGTCCCCTGCTAGGACACTGGAAACATTCTTGACCGGTGATCCAAGTGTCGATGAACTTAGGTCCGATGAATCCAACACTGCCCGAGTAACATTATCTCCCTCTTTCGTATTCTCTTTCTTCTGAGCCTTCAAAGTCTCCCTCTCGTTGAGTAACTTTGGAACAGTCAGAGGTCTCGTATTCTGGAAAGGTTTTGAAGATGGCTTGAGAGATGTACCATTGATGTCCTTAGCGTGAAAGTCTGATACACCTCGAACGATAGACAGAATCGTCGGAGGAAAATGTCTCGTCGTAACCCGACGCAACGTCACCGATGAAACAGGTAACATCTGATGGGCTGATTACGATGATGAGGTCGATTGAGGTAGAATAGATGGTCTTTATGGTGATGGCTGACGATGTCTAGGACCATTGTAAAAGTCAAAACTGCAAAGAGTATCAAGGGACAAAAAGCGAACGAGATCTTCAGGGAGATTGTTCGAATGTGTACGACGAGTACTTACGATTACGATGATAGTAAAGAGTTGCATCGAAGACTACAATCACAAGCATTACTAATCAACGCTGGGCATAATGAATGACGCACGCAACCACTAGAATATACACAGACTGAGATGTGAGTTGAACTCGACCAGGTGATATTACTCTCTATTAAATATGGTTTCTCATATTGCACATCTTTCTCCCCGAGTCATACCCCGCCAACCTTCATTCCGATGGACTATCGGTACCCGAATCAGTGGTGAGATCAATTAAGCCTGAACAAGCTGAGATAGCCGAGACCATTGATTTTCCCCAAGGACGGTCGTACCTGCATCTAAAGGTATTCAGAACTGTTATAGGATTTGAGATCTGGGTATTCTCTGTAGGTACTCTATATCCTTTTTCATCTAAAACGGCCCGCAACTCGGTGACCAATCGTTCATAATCTGGCCCCACCATAGTGTGTCTGAAATACGCACTTAGCTCTTGAGCCGCTACGGTAGCTTCAAACAGTCTCAGGGCATGTTCATTAGCCTCTGGATCACGGAGTGAATCATAACTTGTTATTTCGGTCATTGGAGTCAAACACTGATTGAATCGATCGAAAGATATTCCAGATGATGATATGATTTGGTAAATAAGTTGTTGAAGAGGTCAGTTGGCCACTCCAAGAGAGGGAAATCAACATTTCTGAGATTTGAATATTGTAAATCCGCCAAAAGTTTATCCATTCAACCAGGAAATCGGAGCCTGGAGCGGACGCGGAAATACACATTCATCGCACCGGTCTCAGCCGGTACTCCGGGGGAATGGGAGGGAAAGTGTCACGACCGATATTTATAGCCTGATCAGCTCTCACTAGCATGTTTTTATACTTTCAGGACAATTTATGATCCCGGGCTCGCTACTCGGTCATGACAGGAAGGAAAGCGCCTCAAAGCTATCAATTGAGCCAGGTTGACTAACATGATTAGTATAACTCTGATCAAATCGTTAGTCTTTAGGTATCGTTCCTACCATTTCTACCCAAATTTGGGTGAATGCTACTTGAATTTATGTCACGGGGGTTGGCTGTCACAGAGGACAACAGAATACAGGACTGTAACCTGAGAATGGGACTATGACCCAATGAAGTCTCTGGCTCGTCAAGAGAGTAACAAAGATGAAGGAGGACAAAGTGATGACGTCGAGGAGGACAGGGATAGCGAGGACTAGAAGTGTTGGACTTGGACCAACTGTGTTTGACAAATAAAGAGGAGATTGATAACTGAAGAAACTACTGAAAAGTATAAGTTTATATAGACTAAAGCTAGTTACCGTCTGCGAGTACAGTTTGTCACCTTTGACCACCTGTAGCTACCATTTGTAACCACCATCTGTAACTACCATCGGTGACTACCATCTGTCATAACCATCTGTCATTACCATCTGTGACTACCATCTGTCATTACCATCTGTGACTACCATCTGTAACTACCATCTGTACTCTCCTTATCAATCCTGATTAATTATGAGTCACTATTACTTTGAGTCCATACTTATTCTGAGTCATGATTACTGATTCATGACAATTTATGTGAAAGATGGATAGTGATAGTAGAATCCCTGCGTTACACCAGACCTCACTAAGTACATTTGAGACCGTGGATTGCGGTGTATCACGACCAGTATCACTACTGACTCTGTGAGAATCATTGACAGTCACATCCAGGATCTGCTTTCCGTTCTCCTATCCCCCTGGACAGAGGACAGGTGAACAACTCATGGATTTGTACTCGTCACATGTCATTGAGATGCTGGTGTCTCTCCTTGGGCATGATTCCATTCCTGCTCTTCACCTAGCAATCACTTCAAAGGGATTGATCAATATAGACTTCAGACCAGCTGCTCCCTATGTCCTGCTGTCCCGCATTGTTGCTTCTCCCCTAGATGACACCCCAGGGAGTTGAGTTGATGACGTAGTACTAATTTCTGAGATAGCAGCCTTGCACTTTGTTATAGAGGCCTTGACACCTTCTGAGTAGGGCATGTATTCTCCTGGCAGGGATACTCCTGGCGGGTAGGTTCTTGCTGAGTATGCTCCTGGAGGGTATTTGTGCATGAATCTTTCAATCTCTTTGTTGAACTGTCTTTGGTCCTGAGCAAAGTGTTCAGTCTTCAGGCTAGTGTACTCGTAATGTGTCCCTTTCAGAGCATTTCTCATTAACCTGGCATAATCTTCCAGTTGATTCACGTTAGCACTATTCCCACTATGACTTATGGCGGCCACAAAGGCTCTCGTGTGGCAATAAAGGTCAAATAATTCTATGGCGGGATCCTTGTTCTGTGTGTCCTGCTCCAACTGAGGTCCAGAGCTAATGCTTGTTAGCTGATAGAATCGGGCCAGGGCGGCCGAACCACCGTTAGATAATTACCCCTTCCGTCAAATATTTCTCTGTTCAACTTATCCTCTGAGCTCTATTTGATCGTCTCTGGTTTACTGCGTGTGAGTGGAATGTGATAAGTATAGAGACATGTAGAAGTGATGCATGCTCTTTTTCCCCTGTGTATCACCCACCATCTAATTATTAGCAAACAATCATGACATTGGTCCTCAAACCACTTCCTGGCGATTCGTCTTATTCACATATGGTAGGAACTCTGAATACGACCCCACTATGGACATATGTGACGGTCGATGATTGTGTGTCACCAGAGATACTTGTAGCCGTACATAAGCAATCTCTCTGACCGAGACTGATTTTCACCTTCCTTGATCAAGTGGTACAATACGAGTAATGCCAAATTTGTGGTACACATGGACAAAATATGACAATGGACCAATGCCCGTGAGGATTTCCCTGGTATATGCATGTGTCACAGCCGTCGAATGACTTCTTTCTAATAGACTGATGGTCGACAAACCTCGGCTAACTTGATGCTTCTGACTCAATGTCTCACCCACCCAGGAGGGTGCAGACGTCGAAAGGAATGTAACTACGACGTTGTCACTACTCGGACGAGTCGCGCCACCATGACTCATCAAAACTCATTGAGTTACCCTGAATTCAATGAGACTCGGTGAGTTACCCTGAAAACTCATTGAGACTCATTGAGACTCATTGAGACTCATCAATACTCATTGAGACTCATCGATACTCATTGAGACTCATTGTTACTCATTGAGACTCATTGATACTCATTGAGACGCAATGAGATAATGAGGTTATAGGGGAAAAGGAGAGACGAGACAAGAATGAGTCAATGAGTCGACTCATTGAAAAGCTCATTCTGAATCCCTCTGAAAGGTATAAATGGAGCACGTATCTACTTTGTAGTTTTCTTTTTCTCAAGGATCAAAATATTATTTGCCACTTCACAAAGATCTCTCGTCTTGACATATACTCATCTTTAACACGCCTTCCATCGACAAAACCCCTGTCCAGGTCATATCACACACCCTTGTCGTCATCTCGACTTGCTCGGATCCTTCGCAAGTCACTTTAGCCGTCCGACCACATCACAAGCTCACGAACAACATACTAACCGTCGTTGTTCAAGCTAACTAAACAGTTGCAGTCCACCCGTCTTTGATCTTTAGAGATCTGTCAAGGACAGGACCGTGACAGACGTACTTCGACGTATTTACTCCATCTGAAAGGGGTTTTTACTGATGACGATGTATCTCGATTTATATTGTAGCTATCTCTATCAATCGTTCACTGCTGACAACAATCAAGGAGGCTTGCTGAAGAAGTTCAGCGATCTGTAAACTATCTATACTTCTCCTCTCCTCTCATAGAACGTCCTTCAACTCTTGCACAGCCTCGTGCTCAGTCCTCTTCGCTCAACTTCGCTGTACCTCGCCATATCCCCAATATCCTACTCCACTCACTTCGACTAACTTCGCCTACTTTGCCCACCCTGCTCTCCCTCAGTTTCCTTCTCCTAGGTTCGCTGCAGTTCTCCGTTAGGCGGGGTTGCTGTGACAAATAATCCCTAGGTTCTCGTAACTTCGTCGTAGTTGGTCTCAGTGGTTCGGGGTGATGGTGAAAGGAGGGTGGGTGATGGTAGTTGTCAGGGATGTCACGACATGGTTCGTGACAGCATGACAGCTTGACTAAAGCATCTGCATTTTTCTTACAATTCCATTCCCAGCCTACTGTACGACTCTATGATAGATGAAAATTGTATGATGGTCCAGTCAACTCTCCATGTTGACTGCTCTCCGGCTCTGGCACTTTGGTGTCATAGAGCGGTGTGCTGTCTTGGGCTGATGAATCGTACCTTGTGCTTTCTTCAAGATTGCAACCTTGCACTTCCCTATAGAGTCTTGAAGACCACCTGAGTCTTCCAGCACCGTGTCAGGGGGGTACAGACTCATAATCCTGCTGATAGCATCAGCGAGTACTCCTCTGTCGTAAACTCTTTGTCCAATACTCTAAAGTTTGTGTCACACAAAACATCATAAATTGAAGCAGCACGGGAGCTCCAAGCGGCTTCTGCAACGTCCATTCCTCTTCGCCGCAGCTGCCTGGCATAGGTGATGATGCTCTAATACAATCCCAACAACTCCTTGGCGTCCTTACTGCTGAACGGATCTTTCTGACCCTCTGTTCTAGTGACGGTAGAGTGGAGGTTAAGTTGAGAAGTGTGTGTACTTGACATGATTGTCCAAAGTGAGCTGCGAGGAGACATTACAGTATGTCAACTACTCTATTTAAGCTTTGTCCTCTATCTTTTGAAGAAGTATGAATCACCCTCTAGTTCCCCCTTCAGTGGCCTGATCCACTTTTCTTCTGTCCATCAAAGAAGGCCTACGTTTTGGAAGATGGGAGGAGCGTTCACATATGTCAGGATCACGGGTACCTATAGACGGGTTCCTCAGGAGTTGTATGCAGAAGTCATACTCCACCTACCCGTTCCCGTCTCCGCTCCACTAATTCCGTTACGGCATCGTCTGCTCTCCCTTTATACCTAATCGCTATCTCTTTGTCTCACAATACTTTTCCTTCATCTCCGTGTCCCTCATCTATCTCCGTCTTCCTTCGCTCTTCTACCTCATATTGTTTCCCATCTTTACTCCGTAGATTTCAGTATCACTTCGCTCCCTTTTTAGTATATAGAAACAGCCCTTTTTCGTAGATGTCTTGTCGAATGTATTTTCTCGTCACTTAGTAAATCTTTCGCCACTTGATCTCATCGACTTATAGTCTCTTCAATCCACTACATCACTAGACTATAAACTACATCACTAGGTCTGTTCCCTACGAGGCCCTATAGCCATAGCTCATAGACACAGACCATTTCCAACGTCTGGTCCTGACTGTATAGAGACATGTAGAATCAATGCACGCTCTTTTTCCCCTCTGTAATATCATCTAATTATCAGCAAACATGTGTACCCTACACGCCTTACTCCTGATGAGTAATCTTGCCACAATTCACACTTTTCCCTGCGTAACCCTCCACTTTGGCTGAATGTGGAGTCAGAAGATCCTACTTCATCTTGAAAATATATGTAAGAATCGCAAGTGACATGATCCTCTTGATTCACACTCATGTGGTCACTGTCATCCTGTTTGATGATCAACGCCAGAAAGAGGGCCGAGAATAGGGATATGTTTTGGTCGTTGCTGCAAGCTTGCAAGTACATTTCTCCAATGCCCAACTTAGGACATCATCTCCGCTGTGTCCCTCACCATAAGTTGTTAGCCGATAGAATCGGGCCAGGACGGCCGAACCGCCGTTAGATAATTACCCCTTCCGTCGAATATTTCTCCGTTCAACTTATCCTCTGAACTTTATTCGATTGTCTCTGGTTTTATGCGTGTGAGTGGAATGTGATAAGTATAGAGACATGTAGAATTGATGCATGCTCTTTTTCCCCTCTGTATTATCATCTAATTATCAGTTAACATAAGTGGCAATCAATCTGTCCAAGGCACCAGTCAAATCTAGCTCTTCTCTCTCCCTAGCACTTGGCAAGGAATAATTGTATGCCAATAAGGCGGAAGACGCCGTACGAGCTACAGTGCCATCGCTTGCAGTTCCTAAACTAGAACCTCGGGTTTCTAATTGACTACTCAGCTTTTCCGCTTTCAAGAGAACAAAGCCAAGCATTTCTGCGTGAGTATTTTGAGTCCAATGGACTCTTGTGGCATTGCGTGAAGTTTCCTCTGACATGCTGAGATATCACTGTTGTCACGGGTGCTTGAGAAGAAGAGACAATAATAATGGACGAAATAAATCATTCAATCTTCCCGGAGAGGATCATCTGTGGTGAGAGGGAGTGACAGGGAGATTGAAAGAGGAAGGAATTCGATGGCATAGTAGCTATAGAGGACAGTTTGGCTACTTGTGTCACCTTTGTCCTCCGTGCGTCAATTTCGATATCCGCCCGTATGGCCAGAATGTCGGAGTGGAGGACGTAGGGAATTTCTCCCACTTAGTTCAGGAAGGGTGTGATAGACCTCCTCGGACAGTTTACACAATCATTTCGTCGGCTCTAGAAATTTGGTTGAGAAAACCTTCTAATCGTAGTAACATCGCTAGTGTTGCGACCACAACGATTCGAATCAGAAGGCAAATTATAGTGAGGAGGCTATCTTCCCTTTCTTAGTTACCCGATAGGTAGACTGCATTCCTACTATGTACATACTGTATATCTTTCGAGGTTTAATAGAATGTTTCGGTTGAATCTTCCACTACTTCCTCATCCTGATACTCTGTCCTCTCAAAACCTGTCAACATACTCTGTAACTCCTGCAAACCTGCTCTTCTGATATCTAACCACTTTCCTCCCTCCATCTCACTTAGAACCCAATTCTCCATGTTAGCAATCTTACCATCCACCATTTCATGTAGTATGTTCAGCTCCCGCCCTAACTCGCTTTCCGCAGCACGATATTGGTATATCACGTCCTTTTCGAAAAAGGTGGTTTTCAAAGAAGGATAAGTCTGACCTCTGAATGTTGAATCTTTCCATTCTTCCCAGTTCTCCTTCCTAAATGCCAACGCACTTTCTGCCCATGTGACTCCCTCTCCTGCTTCACCATGCATCTCTGTCGCGCTCGAAATGTGATCTTTAGCTTCGTCGAAAACTGTCTGATCGTCTTTGATCCTCTTTTCCGGTTGTGATTCAAGAGCTTCCTGGGTGAACATGTCTGATAAGCTATATCTAATTTTCGAAAGAGAATAAGTAATGTGAAGACTATTACGATATGTATCATAAGCTCTTTGACGAATTTCGTCTTCTACTTCTTCATTTTCCGTAAGGTCTCCACCAGCTTTCCACTGGATGTAATCTTTTACCGTGCGGATGCCCTGTAAATATCCTTGAAGTTGTGAAACTTGTTTTGTCAGCTTGTTATACAGCTCTTTCTCCGTCGCAGGCTTTTTTCTACTTGTCTTGTCAACTTTGGGGAACAAAGATAGTTTATGCGTTTTTGCACTATGTTCAAGACGTGACATTTGCCAGGCTGATTTGAGCTTAAACACCTTAAGCACACTGAGTGCTTCCTTATCATCCCGGGCATGTTCAGTAAGTTGATTCAAGAACGTTTGCCATTCGACGTGTCGCTCTGATATTCTCTCGGTGGTACTTTTCGCATCACTGAGGAATTCTTCACGGTTGTGTAATTTTGGATCACCTAATATGGAATAGATCTTGCAACCTGCCACTATTGAAGGGTCTGCGATAGTATCAGCTAATAGGTAATCTCCTCCCTGATCGATGAGTTGATTCCAGTCTTTCAGTTCTGTCCATAAGCGTTGTCGCGCACTGTCATGTCCTCCGTGCGGAGTCGGAGTCGGATAAACACCGTCCTCGTTCTCAGCTCTGGTGATGATGATTGTAGGTCCACTAGGTGGCTCAAACTCTTCTGGGGTGGAAGATTCAACTGCTTCCCCTTGATTTTGACCTTGCCAATGAGAATCATGGAGTATCAGTGGTAGAGTTGTTGTAGGTGAGGGCATTGGTGATTGCATGTGGTGTTTTGTCCTTGCTTCTTTTCCTCTAGATTTCTTCCCTGTTGATGGTGCGGAGCTGGCCGCTGTCTTCTTACGAGTTTTGTTTCCAGTAGAGATCTGTTCAGCCAGTGCCGCCACCTCAGCCAGTCTAGTGAGATGGCCAGTCAGTTTGGGATAAGTTTGTGTCCATACTGTTCCAGACAATTCATCAAAGTCTGCTGCCAGATCCTTAAGGTCGATATCACAAGTTTCCAGTTTCTGAATGACCTCAGGATCCAAATGAGTTGTACCTTCAGTCTGATCTTTCATTGCCGCCCTTGAGATGGTCTCCAATACTTGTTCACGTTCAGAACTATCATTGGATATCCATCGTTCACTGATGAGCTCTTGTAATTCACTCAAGTGTTTCTTTCTCTCCTCATTTTCTTTCAGCATCATGTCCACTTGACTTCTATGTTTAAGACCACCTTCTTCAAGTGTTTCTTGATAGAACGCCTCCAGAATACTCTCAAGTATCAAACTGATGTTCTCTACTTCAGACATGACCGGTTCCATCCAGACGAGATCAGCACGCTGACCAAGGAGATCCGCTCTCATTTTAGTCATTCTAGTCATTTCAGTCGAATCAAAGACTTCCCCGACATCAGTCCTGTCATCTCGCTCAAGTCGAGTTTGACGTGCTACCTGATAACATTTACTTGACCATGCAATATATTCCTGAATGGTGTCAAGTTCTTCTTGAAATGACGCCCCTTCCCTGTGTGGAGGTGCAAAAGTCATCCCCGCATATTTCTTGATGAGACCAATAGGAGTTGAGAAGAGATGGGCTCTCAGCTCTGGTGGCCATTGCAAGTCCTCTATCAAATGGTTCAACTCAGAGACAGATTCACGCCATTGAGTGTGATAATCTTCCAGCACGGAGAGTTGCCCCCGATAGTCGAGACTCGTGAGGCGACTTGATACGCTAGGAGTTCCGGAAGGTTCACTCATTGTTGTTTGATTTTGATTATTTTACGCCTCCAAAGTCAAAGATATCAAAGCTTGTAAAGTCAAATGAGAGATTGACTTCTTTAATTCGGATCAAAAGACTGTGTGTGATTGTTAGAGGAGAAGAGACAAGAGGGCTTGGCAGACTTAAAAGATAAAGAGGTGGGGAGAACGTAGCCTAGTCGGCTGTGTTCCAAGCGGAGTTTGACAGGTGTTATGAACTCCTTTGCTCTAAAGGGAGTTGACACAAGTTACACATGGTCCCCTTTGTCATCCCAATCAAGGTGCTTGTAACATGAGTTGTTTCATGAACGCGTCTTCTCTGGCGGGACTGAATTTTTTTAGGAGAAACGACGGTGTTTGTATAGTTGAAGAGTTTGGAAGGATGATTTTCCACGTGACGCCCATGTATGGTACTTTTCACAGCCATAATAATTCCCGATTATCGAGTGAGGGAGAGGGGATCGTAAGGATACGCATGTGTCAGTAGTTGACGTATTCATGGGATATGGGGTGTGAGGTATGTGCTCCTTCATCCGTAATAAGCCTGTAAATAGTGATTACTCACAGAGATCACTCGCAGAATGATGATACATGGAGACCAATCTATTCTCTATCTCTATGTAAAACACAGGAGAAATCAGGCGAAGATGTCGTATTGGATGCAGATAGTTTAGGACTGTCCATAGGCTAGACAGTATCCGGATCTCCAGATAGACCTGGGATGGTACCCATTCCGAGTTGGGTATGAGAGGGATGTCGATTATGTCGGTTGTTAGACCATGAGAGGTAGATGTTCCAACCTGGTATCAATGTTTGTACTCAAAATGTGGATGGTATGACAACAACCCGAACTGGGAGTTGTCGTGGTTGTCTCAATTTCGTGAGAAATCGGAGACGTATCAGAGCAATCCTGAAGATAAGATCAAATGGTAATGGATGGGAGAATTATATGTTACAGATTTCGAGATGTTGGGGGAACTTTCGTAGCACTCACAAAGTCCAACTGATTGCAATACCAACAGACGCAGTTGAGGAGGAACAAAAGTATAATTTATCATTTGAGTGGGCCCGAACACACAGAGGGCTCGAGTCCAAGTGGGAAGCCACATCTATTCTGTCAGTCCCGTTCACTGGATACACTTGAAGTAATGACGGAGAGTGAAATTGATGAAAGTAGCAGTAATAACAGTAAGCTACTCACCAGTTTGACCTTTTGTCTCACCTCGGGTACAGATTTCCCCTCTAGCAAACCTACCGCTGTGGGAAATACTGAGCATCAGTATTGTTGCAACAAACCGAGACTTTGGAAGGGGTGATAGCGGGACGTACACGCGCAGACGAATGGACTCCATAGGAAAGCATCACAGACCATCCTTACTGACAACGCTGTTCGTGAGCATGTGCCATAGGAGATACGTTGGAACAAACCGAGAGAAGAGGGAACTCACTTCGGATACCGGAATCAAGCTTCACTCGGTTCATTCTTTCTAACCACATATGTCCTAAGGGAGCGAAAATGACTCCACCGTCTGTTTGATCAGCTCTAAGACTTCACTTGTCAATGTATAAGGCTAAATGCGCGAGAGACCATAGACCATATAGGCGGAAGTGAGGAATGATTTCAGAGGGGAAGGGCAAGACCTACAGAAACCCATCCGGACAGTTCTTATCATCTATACTTGTCAGCTCTTCCAGGCGGTCTCTAAACACCTCAACATTTGACACTACATGCACTGGCGTAGAGCATCCCAGTCGTCACGCTAATTCAGACACTAGAGATCACCTGCGAGGAGGGAAAGGATACCCAAACGGACCCCCCAGGTAGAACAGGATACGACACCGTTGCTGCATGTCACCAACAGGCAATGTGACATGATCAGAGTGATATTGGCTCTTTAAAATGATAGGTCGAGGGGTACAAGGAAGAATAAAACTCACCTCCCATGCTTGCTCTCCATCGCGAGGGTTGAACCTCTTCCCCTCAATCCCAATCTGAGCTACCCCGTCACCGAGAGCCATGAGACATCCCGCAGTGGTCATCTTGGTCTTCAATGGGTGACTCTGTAGTGCACGTAGGTAAGCTTTCCATGGCCAAGCGAGTGACATGGTTTTGACTCGGGGCTTGAAGTAAGTCTATAGCTGAATGATATTTGGTTGTAGCAAGAAGTGGAGGAGAAAGTGGAGGTTTATCTTATCGCCGATCGCCGGATCGCCGGACGCCGGGCCTATTTCCCGTGGTTGGAATGCACTGGATTTACACTTGTCACCTTGACATGGCAACATAGCATGCCGCTACAGCAAGATCTGTGGTGTTTAGGGCCCGATACCTAGAACCTGACACCCATCATAAGGCAATTTGTAGCTGGCAAGACCAGACATTGAGCTTGTCAATTTCGAAGAGCTGAGAAGCAAATGGCATGGGATCAAACAGATGTAGTGATGTATAAACTACAGTAGAGTAAAACAGGCTGTACAACAGCACAATACTGTTACGACATAACAACAACTTGAAGCATATCCAATGAAGTCAATGGATTAGGATAGAGGAGAGTGATAACAGGAGGCAGTGCAGTAGGTAGGGACGGGTTTTCCCCTTTCAAGATTTTCCCCACAGGGTTTCCTCAAAGCGGTTTCTCACCTGTCCAAGTATGTACATAGACGCTTGCAGCAAGGAAGGAAGGAGACATGGATACCTTTAGATAGCATATAGTACAATCAGCAAAGTACCAACTTTGCTTGTTACTTTGCTAATCCTTCATCACCATTCTTTGGCTACATTGGTTGCAGAGGAGACACAAGCCATCACCTAGCCCCATAGACACCTGATTTCTACAGAGTTCCATCGAGTTTGACCCAACCTGCAACCTAGTCATTGTGTTGCTAGTACCGTTACAAATACTCGACAGAGGTGTAAGGATCTGGACTGCATCGATGGATTTAGAGTGTCCGTCACCTGTTGCTCATTCAGCACTTTCCTATGAGTGATGCATATACTTACCTGTTGCTCATTCAGCACTTTCCTATGAGTAATGAAGAGACAACAGGTAGCAATCGATCTATACACTACTTACAGCAGAGTTTACCGCATTCAACCCAGGAGGACACATGATCATACTACCTAACTCCAATGTGCATGCCTCAACACCCAGCATAGAAATTGTTTACCAAGGTTGTTCTGAGTGAGGGCAATCAGGGCAAGGAACATACACCTGATTTTTGTGCCCTCACTTTTCCTTCTTGACCCGCTTGGCCTTCTGCAATCATTAGAAGCTGTCAAGACCAGACTGAAGGTTGAAGGATCTGCGTCGAGGGTGATAAGTGTCACACGGCACCGCGTGACATCATCTTTTCCCATCAACGAGGTTCCTTTGGACATCAGTTCGCCATCAACGATCCAGTTCTCATGAACTTCATCACCCATGAGGGTATTAGGAGGCTAGCTTCGTCGAAGACAAAGTTAGTCATGTAGGAAGTTAGGGAGATACAAGGTTAGGGAGGTATGAAGTTAGGGAGGCACGAACTTCGTCGGGGACGAAGTTTGTGAGGTACGAAGCTCGGGACTTCGGGTTGAATGAAGTTCTGCGTTGAAGAAGTTAGGGAAAGTCGAAGTACTTAAGGGCCGAAGTTCCCAGAGATCTTTGACGATGTCTGGTTGTTGTCTTAGTAATAGAAGTTAGTAAAGCACAAAGTTATTACACCCAGAAGTTATTGTCATCTGGTCATATCTCGAAAGACAGGATTGTCAAAGGTCGAATCCCACAAAGTTATTGGCCGTCGGTCCTAAGGAGTTAATGAAGCACCAGCCCTGTGACAATAAGCTACTTGTAGGGACTTGGACTAGTTGCAAGATGATGCGAGGATCGAAGCAAGTAGTTCGAGGAGTGAATGATAAGTTTGGCAAATGTATATGAGAACTCGTATGTTGAGACATGTCACGAACTACGTCGCGACACCTCGATTACTCCACCAACAATGACCCTCCTTTGGCCATCAAAACCCCATCACGCCTTAACCTCTTTACTCTACACGTAACTCAGGACTTCTGACACCAAGTACGGCGAAGTTAGACGGAGTTAGGCTAAGTAGGGACAATGGGAGCAGAAGTACGGCGAAGTTAGACGGAGTTAGGCTAAGTAGGGACAATGGGAGCAGAAGTGCGGCGATGTTAGGCGGAGTTAGTCTAAGTAGGGACAATGGGAGCAGAAGTACGGCGAAGTTAGACGGAGTTAGGCTAAGTAGGGACAATGGGAGCAGAAGTGCGGCGATGTTAGGCGGAGTTAGTCGAAGGAGGAAGAGGATGGCCGAGGGCTCGGGGAAGTTGGACGAAGTGCGTTGAAGTACGTCAAAGCGCGAGAGGGTTGGATGAACGTCTAGGAGGAGTAGATAATATTAGCTGAGAAGATCGCTGAAGTTCTTCAGCAATCCTTGATTGTTGTCAGTAGAGAAAGACAGATAGAGATAGCTATATACAATTCGAGATACATCGCCATCAGTAGAACAAAACCCCAGTTAGAGTAACTACGCCGAAGTACGCCGTAGTTACACTCCTTTCGACGTCTGCGCCCTCTCGGTTGGGTGAGACTTCAACTCAGGAGCATCAAGTTAGCCGAGGTTCGTCGACCGTCGGTCTGCCAGAAGATAGTTGTTCGACGGCCGTGACAAGACAGACAAGATACATTGGTCGAAGTTGTTCTAAGCTATGCACTACCTTATGTACATGGAATGAGAGTGTAATGTAGATAAGGGTGGCTGGTAGTGTTTATCGGTGGCGGGTGATGGAGGTGACTGGACATTACCCGAGCTAGCAACTTCAATGCACGTGGTCATGACAGATACATAGCACTCTATCTGTCTCATCACTGGGCTTGTGCGGTAGCAAGCGTACCAAGATGTTTCCCTGTAGTGAGAGATACTTCATACGTAATCTTGAGCGGAAAGATTCCTGTAAAAGTTGTAGATTTGCCTACTTGTCATGAATAGTGATAAGGGATTCTGACTCATGCTCAGATTAGTGATAAGGAAATATGACTCATGCTAGGAACTGTGATAAGGATTGAAGGAAAATGTGACTCATTGTATCCAGCAGTTTAGCAGTGGGGCATTTACATGATTGGCTGAAGCCTGGAAGGTTCAGCCATTTAGCAGTGAGGCATTTATGTGATTGGCTAGAAAATCCCTCACACGCTTTTTAATTAGTACACCTACTTTAGTTTTGAAGGGTATAAAAGGAGCACATCTCCCCCCTCTTTCTTCATGTCACGCCTGCGGGTAGACTGCGGTTGCAAAGTACTGCCTTGGGTACTGAAGGGTTTTAGTCTCTGGCTCGTAGAGCTTGATGACTGCCTTAGGTACTGAGGGTACTGAGGTGTTGGGTTAGAACCAACTAGGTGACTTTCAAAGATGAAGTTCAACTTCAAGATGAAGATACATTGCTGAAGAAAGAGGGGGGAGATGTGCTCCTTTTATACCCTTCAAAACTAAAGTAGGTGTACTAAATAAAAAGCGTGTGAGGGATTTTCTAGCCAATCACATAAATGCCTCAAAGTGAGTGCACCGCGGGAAACTAATTCCAGCCAATCACATAAATGCCTCACTGCTAAACTGCTGAACCTTCCAGGCTTCAGCCAATCACGTAAATGCCTCACTGCTGAACTGCTAAATACCATGACTCATATTTTCCTTCAATCCTTATCACAGTTCCTAGCATGAGTCATATTTCCTTATCACTATTCTGAGCATGAGTCAGAATTCCTTATCACTATTCATGACACTTCAGCAATGTATCTTCATCTCGAAGTTGAACTTCATCCTTGAAAGTGTCACGGCCCTTGAACGACTACTCTCTAACAGACCGACGGTCGACAAACCTCAGGTAACTTGACGCTTCAAAGTTGATGTCTCACCCAACCAGGAGGGCGCAGACGTCGAAAGGAGTGTAACTACGGCGTACTTCGGCGTAGTTACTCTAACTGGGGTTTTGTTCTACCAATGGCGATGTATCTCGATTTGAATATAGCTATCCCTATCTATCTTTCACTACTGACAACAATCAAGGATCGCTGAAGAACTTCAGCGATCTTCTCAGCTAATATTATCTACTCCTCTTAGACGTTCACCCAACCCCCTCGCGCTTTGACGTACTTCAACGCACTTCGTCCAACTTCCCCGAGTCCCCGGCCGTTCTTCTCCGTCCTTCGACTAACTCCGCCTAACATCGCCGCACTTCTGCTTCCATTGTCCCTACTTAGCCTAACACCGTCTAACTTCACCGTACTTCTGCTCCCTTTGTCCCTACTTAGCCTAACTCCGTCTAACTTCACCGTACTTCTGCTCCCTTTGTCCCTACTTAGCCTTACTCCGTCTAACTTCGCCGTACTTCGCTGTCCTTATGCTCCAGGCCCCCGTATACCTTACTCTCCCTTTGTACTTCGCCGTAGTTGGTCTCAGATGTCCTGAGTTACGTGTAGGGTAAGGAGGTTAAGACGTGATAGGGGTTTGATGGTCAAAGGAGGGTCATTGTTGGTGGAATGATTGAGGTGTCACAACGTAGTTCGTGACAGAAAGTCACCTTGTTGGTTCTAACCCAACACCTCAGTACCCACAGTACCTAAGGCAGTCATCAAGCTCTATGAGCCAGAGACTAAAACCCGTCAATACCCAAGGCAGTACTTTGCAAAAGCAGTCTACCCGCAGGTGTGACATGTCACGGCCGTCAAACAACTACTCTCTAACAGACCGACGGTCGACGAACCTTGGCTAACTTGACACTTCTAAGTCGATGTCTCACCCAACCAGGAGGGCGCAGACGTTGAAAGGAGTGTAACTGCGGCATACTTCGGCGTAGTTACTCTAACTAGGGTTTTGTTTTACTGATGGCGATGTATCTCGATTTAAATGTAGCTCTCTCTATCTATCTTTTCACTACTGACAACAATCAAGGATCGCTGAAGAAGTTCAGCAATCTGTAAACTATCTATACTTCTCCTCTCTTCTCATAGAACGTCCCTCAACTCCTGCACAGCCTCGCGCTCAGTTCTCTTCGATCGACTTCGCCGTACCTCACCGTATCCCCGATATCCTCATCCGCTCACTTCGACTAACTTTGCCTAACTTCCCCTACTCCGCTCTCCCTCGGTTCTTCGCCTAACTTTGCCGTAGTTCTCCGTTAGGCGGGGTTGTCGCAACAAATAATCCCTAGGTTCTCGTAACTTCGTCGTAGTTGGTCTCAGTGGCTTGGGGTGGTGGTGGATAGTGGTTCGGTGATGGTGACAGGAGGGTCGGTGATGGTAGTTGTCAGGGATGTCACGACATGGTTTGTGACATGACACTACTACAACAGATGCAAATGCCATTACTTTGAACTTCCCAGTTGAGCTTGAGCACTTGGAGAGAGCCTCTACAGTCTTGTTATTCTTCTGATGAAACATCTTTTCATACATCTCACTCAGGACCCTCTTCCTCAATTCTCCTTCAGGAATCAATGCCTTGGTATGAGCAGATGACCCTGACCCCAGCAGTGTATAAGAGGCCAGAGAAAAGATCCTTTCCAGTACATTCCACCAACTTGCTGCAGAAACGGTTTTATTACCTGAAACTGTACTTTGATCTGTTCCTACTTTCCTTGTGCCTCCCACAGATGCGACTTCATTTCCCTGGTTAACTGGGTGCACGTCTTCCTTGGTATCCTTAAGACTGTTGTATACCTCAACTTTGACAAGCTTTAACACCAAAATACTGCAACCACGCTGTATCCACTTCTGACTGGGAGTTGTCATGAAGCAGGCGGTGCCATCATTACATTCTTCCACCTGCCTATCCAAATATTCATCATGTAAGTACTCCTTCCCATTCTCCAAGGCCTCCAGCACCATCTCTGTGACAGCATGGTCACTTTGAGCAGCATTTTCATATGCTCTCTCCCACCGCAAGTACTGCCCAGATCCTGAGGCATCCTGAACTGGCTTCCATTGAAAAAACTCATAAATCTTGTAAAGTTGGCTGCATGACTGTGTGTGAAAGCCGTGGAGGTCATCCCGGATTGTATCTGTGGGTTTCCAAACAAAGAGTGAAAAGACCTCCACACGTGTCCCAGTTGCTCTTGTTGTCTCATCGGCTGCTTCTTCACCGTACTCCCTAGCCAACTTCATCCATAGATCTACCTCCCATTCTTGGTCAAACCTTGGAGATGTGGGCCCAATTTTTTTCTCCTGCTCAGGGTGTGAGCCAGGGCTGGAGAATGTGGCTGTTGGAGGCAAGACAGATTTCTCTGAGAGGTAGGAAGTGTTGGATTCAGACATCTTGAATTTTGTCCAATTGGAAGGGGAAAGAAGAAGGGTTGGGAAGGTTGAGAGGATTGTTTACTTTTTGCAACCCCTCCCATGTACTCCTCTCTCGAGGAGACACTTCCCTTCAGGTCTAAGATCTCCTCCTGCCCTGCTCCTACCAAGAGAACCCGCCCATCAGCCAGAGAAATCCAATCAAAGGAGGAGACCCAGTACTTGAAACGCGGGAAGGCAGACGTAAAAGGATAATCAGCGATCGAAAACGAACGCTGACATCGCTGGGTTGCTACCAGTGACGGACCATATTACGTTTGAGCTGTCTTCTCTCACTTCCACCCGAGCAACGCGTAGTCCACTGAATTACGGTGTTGAAGGAGACACGGAGAGACCCACTGCTGACCAACATACGTTGCGCACGGGTTGTAATCAATTCGTCCTGTAACTGCCCTGACCCTGATCTCTCCGAAGACACCACCCCTATCGAATTTCTCAGTGTCAGAACCTTGATATCAAGCCCTAGATAGAAAGCACATGAGAGTTATATATTGGTTCTATGAGCACTGAACTGTTGTAACTACCTGAGACTGTGAAAGAAGTAGGGGAATACTTTCAAGATTGACTTTGGGCAAGATCAAGAACTACTCTTTGGGTAGGCAGTAATTTCAAAGTTACATCAATCCATTCCGAGATGGTAATGGGAGAATTTTGCAAGCCTGTTGGAACTTCTCAGCCCATAAAAGAGTTTCTCTGTATAGCTATATGATAACTGCACATCCCATGCTTCCTCTTGATCGTTCCCCCCAACACTAGCTACACTCTAAACTCATCAATGTAGACTATTTTAGCATCTGGTCCCAACAGTCAGAGGACCTTCTAGACGCTCTCTCAACTCGTCCCTCTTTGTGTCTGGTATCTTTCTCACTTCAAACTTGACCCTCATTGGCGTTACCTCCATAGATCTCCTTGACTCATCTTCTGCTGACTCATCTTTTGTTGAGTCAGGTTTCAGTGATACCCATGCCATCAGACTAAAGTGCCCATATAGCTCTGGACTGGTCAATGTCATTGCTGTTTTATATCTCTTGTCAAAGAATTGACGTGTAGACATCCAGGTCAGAACATCTCCTCCTGGCGTTTCTTTTTGGTCCTCTTTGATATTCTCACACGACAACTGTGGTTTCTCACTTGTTCCATCCGGCTTCGGCTTCCAGATTGTTTCAACCATGGTAGTGTGTACTTGCTCCCAAACTTTCCATAACTTTCGGGTAGCCTTAGCCTTCTTTTCTAAACTCAAACTTGAAGATCTCTCCTTGACTCCCTCAAAAGTTGAATGTTCTCTTACTTCCTTTTGTTGGTCATCCAATTTAACATGTTTCTTGGTTCTCTTGCGCCCTCTGTACTTAGTTACTTTTACAAGTTCCGTTTTAATAGAACCAGAAAACCAAGGGACCTGGTCTATATGAGAAATTCGTCCAATGGTAGCTAGTGGATAATTCAACTTCTTCACTTGCTTGTTCAAATGATCATCCCTCGTATAATCCCCTTCGTCCTTCAGGTTATTCATAACCATTGTTGCGACCTTGTTATGACTTGTATAACTTTTATCATATCTTTTCTCCCACTCTATATACTCCTCCAGAGTGGGAAGATCGTGTCTCCATTGATAGAGATCATGACTTACGTGAAGTTTTCTGGGTACTTTGCTGACATCTGGATCATCTCCACCATCCTCAAGATTGTCAGGACCAGACGTTGAAAATAGTCTGCGTCTATGAGCTATGGCTATAGGGCCTCGTAGGGAACAAACCTAGTGATGTAGTTTATAGTCTAGTGATGTAGTGGATCGAAGAGACTATAAGTCGATGAGATCAAGTGGCAAAAGATTTGCTAAGTGACGAGAAAATACATTCGACAAGACATCTACGAAAAAGGGCTGTTTCTATATACTAAAAAGGGAGCGGAGTGATACCGAAATCTACGGAGTAAATGTGGAATACGATATGGGGTGTAAGAGCGAAGGAAGACGGAGATAGATGAGCGACACGGAGATGAAGGAAAAGTATAGCATGGTAAAGGACTAGCGATTAGGTAGGACAGGAGAGCGGAGGACGCCGTAGCGGGATTAGTGAAGCGGGGACGGGAACGGGCATGTGAAGTACGACTTCTGCGTACGACTCTTGAGGAACCCGTCTATAGGTACCCGTGATCCTGACAAAGATCCCATTCGAAGTGTGTGCAAGATACGGGAAATTTTCTCCCAAGCAATCTTACCCGAGCGGCGGCCTCCTCCCCATACTTGTATTTGATTGTTTCCCATAGCTCTATTTCCCATGCTTCCCAACCCCCTGAGGAAGTGGTCCTCCTTATTCTTGATGGAGACCGTGAGGTGGGTGTGTCCAAGATGTCAGAAAGGTCTGAACTGTCAGAATCAGGCATCTGAAGATGTCTGATGTGAGGTGAAATGAAAACAAATGGGGAAGTCAGAGTCTTTGACATGTGCCAAAACTGTGAGTCTTTTTTTCACTAAGAAGACTCACTCACTCCCTTCATGTTCAACTCCCTTCCTTTCATTGAAAGCCCATGAGAGAAACACAAAGAGGATTGGCTCAGGGGAGATTTGATTTCTCATGATTTGTGATGTAGGAAATGGTCGGATGGGCGGATGTCTCGCCGGAAAGAGTAAGAAAAACCTGTATGTGCAAAGCGCACGCCGGCATGATTGAGAGTTCTTTTACTGGCCTACTGGTTGATCTGAAGGTGAGCTCGTGGGTGTGATACTATCCCTCATTTGATCATTGTAGCTTGTCCTCTAACCTGTTCCCTTCCTATCGCCAACCTCCATATTATGCACAAGTGGTTGGAGAACATCATCATCAATTACTTCGACCATAATGAGCCAAACGAAGATTCCGGATGACTCTTCGAGTGTCATGGCTGGGTAGCCAACCTGCGATCACTAATCGTTCAAAAGGCTCAATATCGGATACCCTTTGAGAATTCACGTGAAGGCGACCTTCCATATGATTCCCTTTCATTCACTTCCCCATCCACATCTGACCAATCTCACGATTTCTCAAATGTCCGACTTCGGTTGAGATGAATGGAGCCATTTGGTGATCAGCTAACCGAAGTCCAAATAACCGAAAGGCATACCTCTTCGTCATTCATCCCCCCATCATCTTCATCATTCACTTTCCCCCTCCTTCTCTTAACATTGTTATTGATCTATTCAAGTGCTATATCTGCTCAACCCAGTTACCTAAATTGACGTTCATTGCGACTGAAAGTGATCATCGAAAAAGGTGACTGAAAAAAACGTTCCAACATGTCTACATCGAATCAACCAGTCATCACAGTCTCCCAGATCTCTTTTCGCTCCCCTACAATATCAACTGCGGAACAATATCAAAATCAACTTTCAGTCCTTGATTCTTTTCATAATGAATATAAACTGTCCATTATCCGTCTGAAAGATTGCATTCAGCACCATAGATGGTCTCAAGATCCTCTGACTATGTTCTCTCTACCAATAGGTAGAGCAATTGAATATGCGAATCTTGTTCAATCTCCTCCTTCTACTAGACCGGATCAATCTCTCCAAGAAAGGGCAAAAGTGTTGATAGACTATACCAAAAAATATGATTACAACATTTCACATTGTTTTGGTACACGAGAAGGATTAGACGATGACATGGAAGAAAATCACTCCAATATGATCACCAGATATTATGGTATTGATCTTCTCTGGGGATCAGAAGTTTTAGAAAGAGCTACTGAGATAGTTTCAGATACGGAGAAAGAAGCTAATGAAATTTACATTCGTTCCCTAACAGCAGATACAACCGCTGAGGAATACCAAGCTGTCAAAGATCTCAAGAGGGAAGCCACAATGATGAAAGAACATCTTGAAGATTTAGAAAATCGTATCGAACATCAATATGGTAGCTCAGACGACGAGAAAAAAACTCTGAAAGCAACGGTCGAAAGGATTATCGAACTTAATGATAGGAGTACAAAACCAGCAATTGTCACTGAAGAAATGATGGGTTCGTTGGATAATTGTCAAGTGTCAAGGGATGACTTCGATATAGGATTCGGTATGATGCCAGGTAAACAATGGACGGGAACTTATTTTGAGCTCAAAAGATTCCTGAGTGATAGACAAGAAAGGGCGGGAATGGGAAAGACAGGTGTTCTTACCACTTCTCAATTTGCCGCTTTGGTAGGAGAAGGAAATTTGCCTTCTGGACGGATAGTGTCTGAGATGAATGTGTCGACAGGAAGTTTCGATAGCTCTCGAGGACAAAATGGTGGGAGTGGTGGAGCTTCGAGGGAGAAGAAACAGGTGGAAGGGAAGTCCAAATCTGGGAAAGGAAAGAAAAGGGAGTCATCAAATTCTGGTCTGGTGGAATCTTCCGTTCCTCAGATGAGAGGACGTGGACGAACGGACCCAAAGTCGGCTACCAGTCCCTCTATTGTGGTAGAGGAGATGCCAAATCAAGTGACTGGTTCAATGGAATCCGAAGAGCTCCCTGGAAGTCATACCCAAGGGTCAAATCAAGAACAAGAACAAGAGATCAAGTCAACACGGGAGGATGACCATACTATTTTGATCAAGAAGCTACAACATGATATGGAAGAATGGACAAACCTCATATCGTCTCCTGTTGTGACCGCGGATCTCACCTCTCCTGTGGTTGGTATGGGATGTAAGATCTTCAGCCAGCTTTCTCAACTCCGTCAATCCCATCTTTCTCCCTCAAACGAAGAGGATGAAAACATTGGATATGACGCTTTGAATTCAAAAGTGGGAGAAAGTACAAACCGTCTCTTAGATGATCTTGAAAAAGCTCATACTCAGATTGATGATCTGTCCATGAGGTTCAAAGGTGAAAAAGAAGCCAATGAGGTATTACAAGTTTTCAAAACAAAGACTAATTGGATGATCTCACGTCTCAGGCAAAGTGTCACAACCAACCAGCTGGCATTTAGTTTACCTCCGACCATTGTGGTCAATGGTAAGAAACCTCAACCGGAAGCTATATGTAAGAAGTTGAAGAATCAAATTAGTAAGCTTTCTGATGATCAATCAAAGGTAAACACCTTGGAGAATTATGTCCAATGGAGAACATCACATGATGAGTCAAGCACGGAAACTGTCGTGCCAATACGGACTTCAAATGATGAGATCGCTGGATCTGAGGGAGACGGTGAAAGCGAAGAGGATCAAAATCCGGATGGAGAGTTATGGAGAAAAGCACACGAAAGATTTGCCATGGCAAGTCAATCTCTCAAGAAACTCAGTGAAGCGAGGTATTCTCTAAATCCCAACAACAACGACTTTACCGCCATCAAAAAGATTCTTCAAGAGGCTAAATCCCTCTATACGGACTCAAAAAGAGATTATGAAGCTACTAAGGGCGATCTGGAGACACGAAAAAGGGAAAGGAGTGAATGGAAAGATTCGGTGATTGGTGAAGGACGGACCTACATCAGTTGGAGAGCTCTATTCTTTGAGAATAATGTCACTAGTAAGTACTGGGAGTCTGAAGCTATGTTGAAAAGAGAGCTAGATCGGTTTTCAAGTAAAACGGAAGAGACTTTGAAGAAGGTTGAGACGATCCTAACTGAGAACGTGGAGGGGAAGTCCGCGTTGAGGAAGAGTAAGAAGGGATTGAGGGAGTTGAGGGAGGTTCTGAATGTTGGATTCACATGTTGATTGAGGATACATAGTTATAGTGTAGGGAAGATCTGTTTATATGCGAGCTTGACATCAAATCAATCAGGTATTGACGAGCAAGTGTATTTTGCACCTAAGACATGGATGAGGTAGTGATCGAGATCTAGTAAGAACGGGGTAGTGAAAAGTGCCACAATGTCACCACCGCCACATGTCCTTTCCAACCTATTCGATCCCCCCTTGTAACACCGAGAGAGAGAGACGACAGCACGTCACCGACCGCCGAGGTTGACCATCCACCGTCATACATTATCTTCACTCTTCCTTCTCTCTTACGCATCAATCCATCCATACTTACACCATATACGACTTCTCACAAGTATCTCTGATCGCAGGTGAGTGTCTCTTTTGACCGCCCGGGGAGGTGATCGTATCGTGGGATGGTCGCTTCGTTTGGTGGGGAGTTTTGGAGGCGCGTGCTGTTGCCCCACCACAACCTCTCTTCTCTACCTTTCATCTCATTCCCTCTCTCATATTCTCTTTGTTGCTCTCCCCCAATGGATTGAGAACATATTACGATGAGAGTGAGATCATAGGCTGACACCTCTTTCTCCTTTTATCGGTCGGAAATTGAATATTTCTACATTCCCCTTCATCCCATCTCTCGCCACCCCCAATAGACCATTGCCCATACACCGCACCCTTCCCACGTTTCCATAGAACCATCCAAGATGGCCGCGGCGGAATATGACTATCTCTTCAAAGTGAGTCTCTCTCTGATCTTCTCACCATGTCAAGGACAATGAAACAAGGATCAATCACTGATCGATAGTTACTCCTGATTGGGGATTCCGGTGTGGGGAAATCTTGTTTGCTACTTCGATTCGCAGATGATACCTATACCGACAGTTATATCTCTACCATTGGGGTGAGCCTCAATGTCTTATGAACTCTGGGGAAAGCTGAACATGATAAGGTCGATTTCAAAATCCGTACAATCGAACTGGAAGGCAAGACTGTGAAATTACAGATTGTGCGTCTCTTCCGACGCACTCAGCAATAATGATTCAAGCTGACCCTTCTCTTCTCTTTCATCAAACTCTCGCCACTCGAACCTTTTGCTTGACTTCTGTCTCTTCGCTTCGTCATATACTCCGTCTCTCACTTTCTTATTGTCATCGATACTTTCTCTTCGACTGATCGTCTCCACTCACTTTTTATCTCGTCATTCGAACTTCTTCCCTTTCCTCTCTCGTTTTTTCCCCTGTTGTCATTCTCGACATTCTTTGGCCATTGGATCACTCCTCGCTTGATGTCTCTCTTTTCACTGTGGTCCCCTTCGTCCTTCGGATCAATTCGCTTTCGACTGCGCCCTCCTGACCGTGAACAATCCCCGTCCTCGTGACTCTGTGAATCGGGAACTGATCTCGGTGTCTTGACCTCGCGGTCGTCATACTTTCTTCGATCCTTTCAATTTGGCACGTCTATCGACTGTTTCCGTCTTTCACTGTCGAACTCTTCCCTCCCTATTGCTTGTTATCTTGGCGGAAAATCACACTTTCTTCGAGCCTCACGTTTTTCTGGCGTAATTCCATCACTCTCTTGTCTCAATCTTGAACAAAAAAATCTCGAATATATCTGAACATCTTTGATTTCATCTACTGGGCATCTCTTATTATCTTCATCTCCCTGTCGTCATTTCGACCGTTGATCGTTTATCTTTCGCCTTCCGCTCGACTTTACACGTCCCGCTATTCGTTCATCTTTCTGGGCGTACGACTTCGATTTTTCCAAAAAATCTTCTGCGAACTTCACAAACCGTCATGATCGGATTATTCATCGTCGCTTGATCTTTTTGTTGTAACTGTCTTCGTACCACGTTTTCGTCGGGTGAAACATGGAATTTGGATATTTGGAATCTTCGAATCTCTCATAATACCATCTCTCCACTTCCATTTCAATCCTGCTATCGCTTTCACCTTTGCTTCACTCTATACCCTGTGATATACCTGTGTACAGTGGGACACTGCTGGGCAAGAACGATTCAGGACAATCACTTCATCTTACTACCGCGGAGCACACGGAATCATCGTCGTCTACGATGTCACGGACAGAGGTGAGTGAATTCACTTTGGGATTCAGGTCGGCTGACACGGTAGACACGTTTACCAATGTCAAACAATGGCTGCAGGAGATTGACCGTTATGCTGTTGAAGGGGTGAACAAGCTGTTGGTGGGTAACAAGAGCGATTTGACCACCAAGAAAGTGGTAGAGCACAATGAGGCGAAGGTGGGTGGACTACTGGTCTCTTTCAAACCTCATTGCATCCTTGCCTTTCCTCCATCTTCTCCCAATACAGGATAACGTACGCCGATCACACGCGAATGGCTTCGTATAAGAAGGGGGCTTGCGACTTAGGTTTCGGACATTTCATCCCATTCTTGCACTTTTAATTTGTATATGATCACTGTCATCCGACGAGGAATGTGACACTGACCCCACAGTCATTCGCCGATGAACTCGGCATACCCTTCCTTGAGACATCGGCAAAGAACGCCACCAATGTCGAGCAAGCTTTCCTGACCATGTCGAAGCAGATCAAGGACCGGTGAGTGACTCACGTCGTCCGAACTCCCATCGATGTGGTATAACGGCTCTCGAGTGGCGCACCACGACGTGGCTGACCTGCAGAATGGGCTCAACATCCATGGCATCTGGCTCTGGGGGCAAATCAACCATCAAAGGTCTCGGGCAGACTGTGGAGCAAAAGACGGCTGGCGGGTGTTGTTAGAGACTTTTTCCCTCTAGTCTTTTTTTCATTCAGACGGTGAGATGAGACGGATGCCATGCTCTTTATTCTCCCTACGACTTGTCTCTGGCTGTAGAGGTTTGATCTGGGTAGATGAGACAAATTTTGTAATATAAGAAATGTCCACATAGTCTTTTTTCCCCTCTAATTCCCGGCGTTGATCACTGATAGCTCACCAGCCACCAGCGTCATCGGTCATGTCCGATATTTCCAAACAAGCTGACTGATTGATTACCCTGACTGTGACTTCTGGGGTCATTTCGTTTGTCTAGTTACTCCATCCACTGACTCTTCACCGCAGCTGTAACCCCAACGATCACCTTTTACAGTAGCCGACGATGGCATACGGAGCTATCCACCTCCCGGTGCATACAAGAGGAAGAGCGACCGAAACGATAGAAGATGCGCCAGTGAAAGCAGGGAAGAGATGGCCAATAGTGGGGTTATTGGTCTTGGGATTAGTTCTCCTCTCTTGGCCTTCTAATCCCGTTGGTGTGAGTGGAAAAGGCTTCGTCGTGGGTAAGTTGGGCAAGGGTGAATGGAATGATGAGAAGGGAGGGAAATGGTTTGGTATGGATCGGGGGAAAGAGATGCGGTTGGAAGAGGATTGTGAACAGGCAGAAGCGATAATACCGGAATATAACATAAGTAAGGTATGGGGAGAGAAAGAAAGGATTGTGGGATGGTTATCTGGTGCAGTAAGTCATGTTCTTTCTCTCTTGTCATCTCAAATTTGTCTTCTTCACACTCTATCTATCCCTCTTATCATCTCCTCCCGTTGGGTTAATCCTGATGAATGATGCCCAGCCATTGTTTCTGGGTGGATGACTTTCATTTCCACAGATACGATGGGTTCGGATTTCGTGTGCTATCATGATGAACAGAGAGAAGCTGACGGTTCAGATCAAGATTCGTACTGAAGTATTCGACGAGATGAGGGATATAGGTGTTGATAAACGTTGGGATGTGTTTTACGACTTTCATTCGTGTGAGTTTGGATTTTCTTTCTTTCTCCTTGATCACGCTTTTGGTTGACTTCACCGCCTTTTTCCATTAGTTGTTATCGTTACCCACTTCGACGCTTGTTTCGCGTTTCCGACCCCTGAGCACTCACTGCCCCTTCCCTTCCTCTCCCACCCTGTTTGCTCCGTTACCTGGAATTACCCTTCACGCTTTGCCCTTCCTCGTTTCTCCAGCCTCATTCCCCTGTTCTCAGTATCACCAGAAACGGTCGACCAGAATGGTGATCATGAAAATCTGACGACCCTGGACGCATGACTAACTCTCAGACCTCCGTGATTCATTCCCCCTCGTTCATTCCCATTTCACAGTCACCTCACACAACCTTTCACTAGTATACGAACTCCCCGGTTCCGACCCAACCTTCAAACCACTCATGTTAACAGCTCATCAAGATGTCGTACCCGTCCTTCCGTCCACTATCGATCAATGGACACAACCTCCATTTTCCGGTTTATACGACGGTGTTCGTATTTGGGGTAGGGGAGCGGCAGATACGAAAAGTAGTTTGATAGCTATTTTAGCTTCTTTAGAATTCTTCTTGGAGGATTCAAGGGGAAAAGGAGAGAAATGGATACCGAAAAGAGGATTGGTTTTGGCTTTTGGAAGTGATGAAGAGAGAGGTGGTTTAGTTGGAGCTCCGAAAGCGAACGAGTATTTGGTTGATAAGTATGGAGAAGGGAGTATGGCCATGTGAGTGACAATTCTTCATTCTTAATGCCTTTCATCATCGTTGTTCATCGTGTAGTATCTATCCTATCCTCATACGTTTGATTGATGTACCTCTCATCTTCGGAATCATCAGCTGATTCTTGTCACTACCATCCGACCGCTTGTCATGACTTATCATATGTATGACCTTAGACCTTATCTCAACAAAGTCGAACTTATATCATCGTACTATTGTACCGTGATATTGTTATGTTGACATGTTCTCATTTCAATATATCATCAATTTTACACTCCATCCTATCTGACATTCTCCTCACTGTCTCTCATGAACATCACCTCATTCTTTTCCTCACAAGGACTGTTTCAAATAGATAACAACGCAACACATGGCTAACCTCCAGGTTGGTAGATGAAGGAAACGGTCTCCTCACTGCATTCTCCAAAACTTTCGCCGCTCCAGGTGTAGCAGAAAAAGGTCATGCAGATATCCGTTTGACTATCCGAACTCCAGGAGGACATTCTTCCGTCCCTCCGAAACATACAGGAATAGGTCTACTCTCCCTTTTCATTTCGGAATTAGAAAGAAATCCTCATCCGATATCTATAAATGAGAAAAGTCCTTTGTATGGGTTTATGACTTGTGCTGCTAGATATGGAGATGTATCTAAAGAAGTGAAGAAAGGTTTGAAAGATGTTAAAAAGGGTAAAAAAGGAGCTTTGGATAAGTTACCGGATGTTTTGAAGAAAAGTGGTTTGGATCCTTCTCGTGGACTTGGACAAGGTGAGTAACCCGTCGAACCTTTTGCATCACTTCAATTTCGATCTTTTTTTTTTTTTTTCGTTTTCTCTTCAACCTCCAATCTTGTCTACTACGCAAGTATATGGGATATCCGTAAATCGGAAAGAAATTTGATGAATGAGTAAAATAGTCACACACATCAGAGCTAACATCAAGGAAACCCGTTGGAAGCTATGATGTCAACCACTCAAGCTGCCGATATGATCTCCGGTGGGGTCAAGACTAATGCACTCGTGAGTTGATTCTGGTATCTAGAACTATCAGTAGAGTACAGTAGCCCGCTAACTTCTAAGCCTGAAGTAGCAGCAGTAATCATTAATCATCGTATTTCTCTCACTTCCTCAGCTTCAGAATTACATGAACGTACCGCATCCCTACTTATACCTTTATGTAAACAATACGGTTTATCCTATATCAACTGGCATAATCAAACTCTTCTCTCAGGTGATAAAGGTAGTTTAACGGTAGATTCTCCATTTGGATATCATACGGAACCTGTATCTTCAAGTCCTACCGATATTTCCGATGGTGCATGGAGAGTTTTATCTGGCACTTCAAGAGGGATTTGGAATACTAGAAAAGATAAAGATGATGGAAAGGGGGAATTGATAATGGCACCTTTTATGACTACAGGGGTGAGTACTTGAAAGCTTTTTGTTTCAATGATACTTTAAAGAAAAAGGTTGGGGTTGATGGATAGAATACCGATACGAGACGTTATCGTCAACTCACACCTAACATTTATCGATTCCGATACCTTCCTGCTGATGCGGCGGCGGGAGCTCATACAGTTTCAGAATGGATAGATGCAGAGGCTTTGGTCGAGTTTACAAGATGGTATCAAGCTTTGATTTTGAATATGGATCAGGTGAGTGTGTGAGGGGAAGGGATGATGGGGGCCTTTTTCGAACACTTCATATGTATGATCCGGAATCGCGGTAGTTGATACGTGTGAAGAGAGCTTGGGAGAGGGAAGGCAGTGTGATGAGTTAAAAATTGATGATTGCACTGGAAAGGTCGTAAAGTTAAGTAAGGAAATCAGTTAGAGATTAGATAAGGTAGAAAGTACAAAGTAGAGTAAATGAAGTAGATCAAAGTCGACATACAAGAAAAGGGAACAAATGCAAGGAAAATGATTCGATTTGAAACAACATCAGAATAAACGTTCAGACAAATGTGATGTCCCGCATTGGGGCGATAAACCGAGAGCACCAGTCTTTATATATGCATATCGATCAGAAAGGTTTATCACAGTCGGGTGTCTTGTCGACAAAATATTCTGACACCTGGGATGAGCGATCCAAACTTAATCTCAGAATTGAAATCCGCAAGCAGCCACGGGTCACACCATATCCTAAGCAGACAAATGTTGATTCCTAGTAAAAAGGTCGCGAGGCGCAACAAGTAGGAGAGAGACAAATAGTTATCAAACGAGGATTGGTCGGAAACGTAGAATTGTGGTACATGGATTGAAGGATAGGGGGGAATTACAAAAGTCTGTGGGAAAGTCGAGGGTAGGTAAACTACGTAGACTCGTCATGGAAGAAATAGTATCTCCCAAGGGATAAAAGCAAACAAAGAGGATAACAGAAAACAACTCACAAATGGGATTTTCCTCAATATATCCTTTTTATACAATGGAACGGAAGACATGAATAAAGTCACTGCGAAACCTGCTCCAGCTCCCCAGATGATTAAAGGGCTTCTCCAGCGGTTTATACGTCTGTCCAGATCGAGTGTTGTGTGGAGCAACATATGAGGGGTCGAGTCGGGAGGATGGTTTCGATATTGTGATAGAGGTGGGAGTGAGTGATAGGGTCGATTGTTGGTGTGAGGTGAGTATGGGTAGATGAATGAAGAGCAGGGTAGGGGGGATGATGAATCAGATTGGGAATAGAGAGAAGAAGTGTCAGCGAAAAGTCATTTCGTTATGTCAATTTTCCAATCCCTTCCCTCTCCCTCATCTTAGTCCTTGTAGTCATACCATCCGAGTCTTTGCTTTTCTTCTCCTTCTTTGAACGATGGACCGACGATCGAGTATCCCTCTATTCTCATCAAGATTACCCAGATAGTGAAACCAAACTTCGAAGTAACCCGAAATCCACCCTCTAGAATATACCACACAATTGAGCTCCGGCTTATCTTTGATCCATACTCTCTGACTTTATACTTGCCGACGATGACCAACTTTAGAAGTAAGGTGGGGGAAAGAAGATACATACTCAATGTTGAAACCTCCGAAATGCTATCTCGTCAGTTACTCCAGCCTACCAGTAAATTTTTCGAGAAAGACACTCACGGGTTGAGGTTTGTATTGAAAAGCCGGCATAGTGCTTCTGCTCTGTCCTGTTCCGATGTCCCCGTTACGAGTCTATACGTTTAGTTGAGTGAGTGTAGGAAGAAGAGATAGGTGAATAGTCAGTTATGGAGTGGACGGAACGGAAACGATGTTGGTAGAGAAGTAATGCCACGTCATTCGTGGCACTTACCTTTGTGGCACTTTTTCTTTTGTTTTCCACTTGCTTTGTTCCGTGCTATACGCTATCAACAAATCGTCTATCTCCTCCACAACTTTTTTATGTGTAAGCATCGCTCTTGGTCGGACCAGGTGCATCAAATAGGAAATACCATACGAGAGGAGAGAAGAGAAGACAAGTAGGAATATCTTGTTTGAGTGAAGAAAAGTGGAAGAGGCGAGGATAAGACTAGAGACGGTATCGAAGACAGGATTTTGAAGGCTAGTCATGACGGTCGCCGCTAGTGAGTTCATCCATCAACCTTCATCACTGAATATGAGTTCTTCCGCTCCATCATCTAGAATAGTATATCATATCAATCAAGGAAATGAGGTTTTAACAAGATGCAGAGTGAACGTATGTGATGTTACGGTCTGTTGGGACAAGACGGATTGGACGAGGGAAGAGAGAAGAGGGAATGTGGGATCGCTAGTGAGAGATCTGACAAACAGCCGTGTTCATGTCCGGTCTCACTTTGATAATCATCATTTTCCTTCTCACTTTAGCTTTATCTCTTATACCGGATCCAGGGTTCCATCCTCCTACTCGAGAGGACTTACCTCTGGTACGAGGAGATTCAGGTGGGGGAACGATTGAAGAGAAGAGAGATAAGAGATGATCATTGTCACCGCCAAGGAGAATATGAGATGGGAAGGTGCTCAGTATTCATTGTTAGCGGATAGTGTCTCTCTTCAACGGCTGTATTGTCACAATTCAGAATCTCCCCCCTTCCCTCCTTGTTCACCCTGGTTTATCATCCTCCAAGCGTTTTTTGATACATTTGACTTTGCTGTTGATGAGTGAAAAATGTAAAGTATAGAGACCTGTATGTACGGTAGATTCAAGACATACTCTTTCATCTTTGGCATTATCATTTATGTAATGATCAGCAAACACGAATGAATGACATCATTGCACCACATGCATCATCTGTTTACCTGATTCCGGTAATTATCATCTGATGGAATATATGGTGAATCTCCTACGTCGCTGTCGGGGTGGTCAAGCATCACCCTGCAGATGGGTTAGGAGTGTCCATCCACCTAGAAGACTCCCAATCCTCCATAACGTTAAGCTTCATCATGATATTGGTCTTGGTCCGGAGAGTCTTCCCCTTGTCTCGAAGGTGGACGGGAACCATCATCAATTGCAACTAGCGTACTGGCAGGACTAACATTAGGGGATGAGGCATAGACGGTAATTGAAGGTGCTACCACCTGATTGCTACCTATCCCATCCATTGATCCTGACTGAATCAGAGGGGACAATGAGGAAATGCGTGTTTTCATGTGCTCCTCGAAACTTAAGGCAATGGTGTGCAAGACTGCATCAGCAAAGGGGACCCTGGTCCCTGAATTTATCCTAACCGCTGCGATTTGTTTTCCTAGAGCACTTGCTACTGACAAGATAGCGTCCCTCGTCTTTGCTTTTGACATCACTGCACCGATAAACTTTTCCAATACTATAGAAGATGGGCATTTCGGAAAATGTGGTCCAGACTCTGAAGGATCACCCTGATCGGTCTGCCACTCAAACGGAGTGCCTTCTGTATCTGTGTTCATTCTGTTATAAGAGATGCTATCAAGAGGAAATGATGTATGAGAGAAACGGAGGACTCATCCACCTTGAATAGGCTTCTTATACCTCTTTTACCCAACGGGAGAGTAGGGGTAGAACGATCTAGACGTAGGTTTTCGTATTCCAACCCGAGTGGTGGAGACCGAATTTCGGGGATGATGTTTTTAAAGATGATTTACGTCAAGGGAGGGAAATGAGAAGTTATATGTGTATATACTATATGTAGATCAGATTTATTACAGTATCATATGAAATTATTGTAGTGTTATATAAAATTACTGTAGCATTGAATAAAGTTATTGTAGCATTGAATCAAAGTTATTGTGGCATAGGACAAGAGTCATATGTCTCAAGAAAGGATATTGAGGATTATATTGGTGAAGGGAGGTTGTCAAGAAGCTGTGTGGGGGTAAAAAGAGCAGATTGATGAATTTCACAACCAGTACTCATAGCAAGATCAACCAATCTAGGTCAGCGTCAGTTTCGTGCGTTTGAAACTGTTTTCGACGGCGGTCTCCCTATCCGTACACGGCACAAAGGGTCAAACTGGGATACTAGAGGGTAATCTTGAGAGTAGGATTGACACTTAGTCATATCCTTGTCCGGTCCTGCATTGATATCCACATCAACCTCCTTACTTTGACTACATTCTTGAACCAGATCTTGGATTTCATCCTCCTCAAAAGAAGTTATCTTTAGTAAGAGGAAATATGAAGGTCATTTCATCCTCACACCACATGCATCAGCACTGTACACGATTCTCATGGTTCTCATCTCATGATTTCCAGGGCCAGTTGGATACTCTGCCGTCTAGATTGGTAGTTGAATATCACCCCTGAAGACAGGGTACCAAACGCCTAGTCCCATGATCTCGGGACACGTACCACTCCGATCATAAGTTACAACAGTTGTTTCTGGTGGATCAGAAGTTGATGCTTTCTTGGAGAACCTGTCATCATGGGATGAAATATTGGAGCTTGTTGATTGTGACAAGTGATAATCATCGTCTGTCTCAACCTTTGAACCTGATTGGACAGGAGGAGACAATGAAGCGTTATGTGACTGTAGGTATTTGATAAATGTTATTCCAATGCCCAACAACACTTTATCCTCAAAAGTGATATTCACACTTTGGTTCTGCATTTGGAACCCAATTCTTCCCATCTGGGTGCCAAAAGCACTTGCAGCCTCTGACACACGCTTGATTGAATGTTCTTCGTTATCAGGATTCAAAGCGGTGGTCAATTCACGTAAGACCGCCGAAGATGTGTCTTCCTGAGAATGGGATTGAGATTGTGATGTATTACCCATGCCCATTTCTCCCTCAAATGACATGTCATTTGTATTTGTGGACATGCTGTAATAAGAGATACATTATCAAGAGGAGTTAAGAGTGTGAGAAGAACAAGTGACCCGCTTATCTAAGTAATATCTCTTAGACCCCTCCACTCACCCTTAGACAGGATAGGTATGCAGTGTTTTAGACATGCTTGGTTCCGATGTTTGGCCGAGGGCAGAGTGAGGGGATGACGATTTCGGAGATGATATCAATCAAGGCAGGGGGATGGAAGAAGTTTTACACATATCAAAAGTGGATATTCTGGCTGGTTGCTGATTGCGCACGGTCATGACACATACGCTCTGAATGGGTTATCGGAGGGTGAAAGTAGATAGTGCATATTACCACTCGGCCGTATTGTAAGGACCAGACGTCGGGATAGTCTGCGTCGATGAGCTATGACAATGAGGCCTTGTAGGGGACAAACCTAGTGATGTAGTGTATCGAAGAGATGTGTAAGATTGATGAGATGTATGTCAAATGATATAACTAGGAAAACACAAAATACATTCGACACGACATTGCTGAGAAAAGACTACATCTATATACTAAAAAGAGAGCGGAGTGATACCGATAAGAGCATGCGTAGTTTGGAATGAAGTCGAGGTAGAATAGGAGAGGAAGAGCGATGATAGTTACCGAGACGGAGATGTAAAAAAGGGTAGAGGTGTCAAAGGATTGGTACTGTTAGGGACACCGGCGGAGACGTTCACCTCCGGAGCTGAACGGCCGAAAATGACCCCTTGGGACACACGTGGAGATCCGTACAACTCCGGAGCTGCATGATCTCCGTGGGTGTCCAGAGCCCTTACTTCAGCTGTACACCGTTGGAGCAGAAGATGCGTACGGAACAGGCATGAAGCGACTACACATAGACCTGCATGAAGCAATCACACAGTGGGGAGGGCCAAGAGGGGAGCGCGCATGGGTCAAGCAAGAAGCAACTACACAAGAGGCCTGCATGAACCAACCACACAGAGGAGAGGGGGCGGAGGGGAGGTCCCGTGGATGTATCTTCATACTCCCTCTGACCACTTCTCCTTGTCCCTTAGCGCCCTTATCCATTGGTAGCTCATGTCGATTGCAGCCTTCTACTGGCCCACCTGGTCTGACCATCAGTTATCTGGTGGAGGACATACTTTCGTCTTGGAAGAGACAAACTCACGGTCAAACCGCAACTCATTGCCGTGTCTCCTATGGAACTCTTCCCGCGCCTGAATGATTTGCTTCACTCGCAACTTCTGCTCTGACATTTCCCTCATGAAACCTGTCTGATTCACCCCACGGCGCTTGCTGAGGATCACAGTGACAAGCTCATGCCAGAGCCATCTTTTGTACTTCCGCGTGAGCCTCAGGAGAGGGCGAGGCAGTGACCACATCTGACCACCACTCTCCCATGATTCCTTTCGCCATAACTCATCAGGGGTCTTGATATACTGGGGGAACTCATCCAGGGGGGATTTGCCATGCCAGAAGGAAGACGGGACTCCATTCTCTTCATGGTCACTCCATGTTTCCAGCAAAAGGGGATAATCCTGTCACAGGGTTGCTTCTTCGTTAACTTCCTACGACCGACGGCCAATAACTTCGTGGGCTTCGACCTTTACCAACTTCGTTGTTCGAG